TCCTCGTAATTGTGGTCCATATCGGATGTTATCTGCAACTGTGCCTGCATAGTTTTGCAGGGACACGTGAACAATATAATTAATCTCCACTGTTAACAAATTAAACTATAAAATGGATTTATAAGAAACATGTACCTTCAAAGATAGCCGGAAGCTGGAATAACATCCCGACTTTCCGGCGAACTCCGAGTACATCAAGATCACATATATCTACACCATCCAAGAACACAGAAGCACGAGGTGGCTCCCATAATCTGTTGAGTGCCCTCAAAAACGTTGACTTTCCACTTCCACTTGGCCCTATGATCCCCATAATCACACCTTTGGGGATATCCACGTTGACTTTGCTCAATATTACAACACCCTCGTCTGAAACTTTTGTTAGATCCCTCACCTCAATTTTAGTTTCCTGCCAGGTTCCGTTCCCGGTTGTGTCTCCAGCCTCGTCCACGACTAACAGATGCAATCTTTCACCATCTACACCATCAAGATTCAAGAGTACAAATTATACATCAGAATAATTCTCAAGAGACTTAATTTACACACAGAAAAAGGATAAATTCTAATGCGAAAATCATATTGTAATTGTTGGGATTTCTCTAACCTTGAAAACTTTCCATAGCACGATGAAATCAAATCCAAGCACCTCAGAGAAACTTTTGTGTAGAATGAATAAATTCCCGAGTTAAGGGACCTGTCCATATAGCATCCCCTTTTATAATAGACTCTTCACCGTACAGATTTATGGGTTCAACTGGACAGGCTTTTCTGAATAGACCTACACTAAAAAAGCCAATTATGGACAAATCCAAAAGACAATGGACCATGCTGGAGTGCCAAAAGAAAATTGATACCCCAATTGACAGATCTTCACAGTGGGGGGTGTGGGATGGGATTTTTTACTTTTTTTATTCATGTGGGGTCGTCGCGACTTACATTCACATGTGAGGATATGTCAAAACAGTGGGTACTTCCTTTTTGGCAGCTCGGCATTTTCGAAAAACAATTGTACTAAACTTGCATTAAATAGACTAAAAAACTATTTTATGTATTTTTTACTTTTATAAAACATGCCTTTTTAGGGTTTATGTTTAGGGAGAAATACTTTCATGGGGCAATTAGCAATGTCAAGCTGCCACCTTGTCGGGGTGGCCCATCACCACTTCGGGAGTGATGGTGGGCCACAACGACGAGATGGTGCTTCCTTACAGGGCGATCGCACCGCCACGTGGTGCGAGTGAGACCACTTTATGGAAGTATTTCTTATATTTAGAGGGAAGATTGTGCACGAGGCTTACAGGTGTTGAGCTGATGGTACATCTAATCTCTACATGTATGGTACACGCCTCCTTGAAAAAATCTTGTACAACATTTCCTACACACCAAGCACATCCTAAGGATAAAAGCATGGTAAAATTATTAATAGTTGATTGGACCAAATTGAATAAGCACCAAAATCATTAGTCTTTATCTGCGATAGCACCAGATACTGTAGAGAATTTTACAAAAAATAAAAAAAAAATATACGGTTATCCATGTAATATATAACTAACTCAACATTGTGACTGAAGCAAAGTAATATTTATGAGACTTAACTAATTGTAAGAGAAATTAAATTAATTAAATATCCTATGTATCTTATTCCGCCTTGTTTGATTTAGTTAAAGATTAGATTTTTAGTAGATTTTGATAAAAATTGATAAAATGTGTTAGTGGAAATTGATAAAAATTGTGATTTTCGTTAAATCTGTGATTGAAATTTAAAAAATAGGGATCAAATATGACCCTATATATATAAACAATATAAAATGATAAATTGCTTGAAGAAAAGTTCAATGCTTTGTAGAATACCATGGCATTGTTGGTAAAAAATAAAAATAAAAAATAAAAAAAACAACTATAGAACGCTTACATATGTAAGTCTACAATCTCCACATGTTCAAAAAGGCTAAGACTTTTCATAAAATTGTTACTTTTGAGTGAAAATGTAGGAATTGTTTGATAAAAGTATGTGAAAGACAAAGCAATGCAACATAAGAATAAAATACAACTTTTTCAAGTTGATTAATAAGCGCGAAAAAAGAAATTGCAATTTTACAAAAATTCTTTTGGAGATTTTGAAAAAAGAAATAAAAACATTAAAATTGAACTTTGCATTCATAAAATTTGTTCTTCCCTCCTAAAATATTTTTTAGAATCATTTTTTTTTTCTGGTTTCTAAATGCGAAATATACAAAAAAAATATGAAATAATTCTGGTAAAGAATCAATAACCAGGCGCAATTAAGGTAGATAATCAGCACGCATCGACAACATCTGTTCAGGTAAATTATTATTGTCCAATAACATAGAGAGTGAGATCCATGAATGGAGAGACGCGTTAATAAATTTGACCTTCCATAAACAGAAATTCATAATGCCAAACTCTTTGTTATCCTGCCAGATCAATGTACAATTTCTTAGATATAATGTACAAGATTGATTTGATGTACATTATGCTATAGAAGTTGTACTTATAATTAAAGACAATAAACCATACAAAAACGTTACTCTTTTAATCAGACACAAAAAGGAAAGAAGGGAGTATCGAAGAGAGAGAGAGAGAGAGAGAGAGCGCGCGATCAGGGAGAACAAAGAAAGGGGTCTTCAATTTTGTGATTCAGAAAAAATAAAAATAAATAAAAAATTGGAAAAAA